TAAAGTCCTAAACAATCTAGAAATCATAATGGAATAAGGAACCAAATAACTAAGGGATCTTGGAAAGTCTTGATTTGCACTCCAAGTAGGGAAGAATAATCTAGAGAAGTTCCAACTCAAAAGACTCCTAGAAGCCTCAGTTTCTTGCTGGCCAAGTTGTCCCCGCGCGCTGCCCCTGGCAGGCCTGCGCCCGCGCGCGCGTGCTGCCCAGTGCCCGTGCTGGCGCTGCTTCCCTGCGCCCGCGCGCATGCTGTTGCCCTGCGCCCGCGCGCGCACGCCCCAGCGCGCCAGTGCGCTGCCAGCGCGCCCATGTGCGCGGGCTGCACCCGTTGGGCACTCGACTCGCGCGCCTTCCATTTCTTCGAGCCACCTGGTGCTTTAGCCATCCCCACCATGTTTCACTCCTTCTATAAGCATCCCGGAACCTCCGATGGCATGTCCGTTTGAGGCGTGGTCTCGTCCGTGCACGTCTACGCCAATGCGCGTGTTCGCGCCCTTCCTTGCGCCTGATTGTTGCCCGTCTTGGGACCATCTCCTCACACGCTCTTGCAATCCTCCGTGCGTTACCCTCATGGACTATCTCGAGTGATCGCGCGTCCAACCCGCGTACTCCTATGCACGCTTTGTCGCGCGTTATCCCTTGACACACGAGTCTTTCCGAGCTTCTATGCAGATCCTTGTTCCTAGCATCTCGCTCCTTGCATATGCTCGACCTCCTATGCCATGGCGCACGTCGGCACCCTCGTATACGGGCTCGTACTCGTCTCTTAGGCCATGCATACGTGATTTTGGCCCTTTCCTCGGCCTTCTCGGGTCGTCTCGGCCATCGGCTCTCGGCGTCCTCGGGCCTCGAAACCCACATTCGCATCATTCTCGCCCCCTTTAAGAATGTCCTTGTCCTTAAGGACACGTCATCACCCATCAACCAATTTACGTCCTCCTCAAGATTCACCTCGACCACTATGTGCGGAACTTCTTCCTTAACCACTAAAACCTCTAGCACACCTTCTTCATCCTCTTTCTGAAACTCCTCGACCACTTCGTCTTCTTTGGACTCGACCAAACTTCCTTCGACCTCGACAAAGTCTTCATCGGGGTATACATCGAAAATAGGCGGTCCTTCATAGCTCATTGATTCCTTCACGTCCTCGATGGCCTTTACATCGTTAAAATATTTTGAGAATTCAAACGGGAAGATAGGCTCCTCACACTTTTCGTCGACCTGACCTTCTTCTTTGTCGTACTCGCCCAGTACGCGGTCGGGCACTCTAACCAACTCGTGCATCTCAGATTGTTGTTGCTCGGTCGTGCCCGCGTATGCGCTTGCCTCCTCGACGATGAAGATCTGGCCATCTCCATGCCAATTGCGTGCATTGAGATCTCGGCTTTCTGCTCGAGTACCTCAACCTCAACCTTACTCTCTAGGTGCTCCTCAATCTCGGATTCTTCCTCATCTGACTCGATAACGTCGATCACAAAAACCTGCTTGCATCGATGGCCCGGTGAGAACTTCTCTTCACATTTAAAACAGAGCCCCTTCTCACGTCGGCGCCTCATCTCCTCGAGCGACAAAGTCTTGACCTCTGGGACTGGTGGTCGAGAGCTATCGGGCGGTCGGCCGCTTGGAATCATATTGCTCGCATTCGGTTGTGCGCCCGCGGTAGTGTTGTTTGGGCCCGTGCGTTGCGTGTCGGGGTAGTGAGCGTCCGTCCGTCCCCTTCGCGTGGCCGCTAGATGGTCCTCGCGGCGTCGGGCTACCTCCATAGCCGCATGCATGGTCTCGGGCCGCTCTAATCGCACCTCAGCGGCTAGGTCGTACTTCAGGCCGCCTATGAATGCGCCAACTAGTGCGGTCTCGGGCCAATCCCGCACGCGACATGCTAATCGCTTGAATTCCTTCAAATAATCTCGCAAGCTGCCTGTCTGCCTTATTCGAGTTAGCGCCTCATCATAGTTGTGGTAGTTGGAAGTTCCGAAACGCGTGAGTAACTCGCGTTCGAAATCGTTCCACCCAATGACTCGCTGTCGGTTGCGGTAGACGCTCGTGAGCCATTGCCACCAGACGTTGGCCTCGCCATCTAGGTAATAGGCCGCATATCGATCACGGTCATTGGCCTCGGTCTTGTTGAGCTCAAAGTTTTGCACGGCCCGGTTGAGCCGTGCCTCGGGATCGGTGCCGGTGAAGGTGGATAGCGTGAGCTGCGGTTTGTCGAGCCTCGGGCGGTCGTGTGCGTTAGACGCTTGTGACCGCTGATCGAAGTCCTCCTCGTGCTCGTGCTCATCGGGCCGATGTTCCTCCTCCTCGGGTCGATCGCGCCTTGGCCGTCATGGAGGTGACCGCGCAAAGCATTGGAAGCCGCGCGCCATCTCCTCGAATCCCCGGTTCACGGTTTCCATTAGATCCCGAACCGTTGACTTGGTCGTGTCGATGTCTTCGCTCATACTTCGGACTTGAGCGTCAAGATTATCAATCTTGTCCTTCATCTCCTTGTTGGCCATG